TCGGCGTACTTATCCGGATCATCCGATGCGATCTTGGTAAAAAGGTCGATTGCTTTTCTGACGAGGATCCGCTGGAGCTGCTGCAGGAATCGATGGTTCTGCAGCGTCTCCCGAGACACGTTCAGTCTGGTGGGTGAGTTGGCGTTCCTTTGCTAGTACCTCTGCTTACGGTAGATCATCCGCTGCAAGGCATTAGCATCAGCATCTGGCGGCGCAGTATGTCTCGGGTCACCCACCATCAACGATGACTTTCAAGAAGCTCAGCCACCTCGGCATGTATTCCTCCCCCATGTTGTCCGTGATGAAGACACGCTTGACCATGAGACGGACATTGTTGATTCCACTGTTGACCTTTTGCCAAAAGTCCTTGGGGATCTGTGCCGGGATGTACATGATGGCTCGGTAGGACACTCCTGATCCGGTATCGCCCTGCGCGATCAGTGAGAATGAAAAAGGTAGGGGTGGTAAGGAGGCGGAGGTCGGCCAAAGACCTTGAAGTGTGACCATCCCAACGTCTCAGCAGTCGGGTCCTTAGCGACCGCCTTGTAAAACTCTTTGTATTCCTCTTCCGACACCTCTTTCGGCTCGCTGGTAGTCAGGGCGCTGCTGTTTATAGTAGAGCTTACCGCATCCAGATGGGAGCCTTGTCGTTCACGCGCACCCATTTTTCTTCGGTGACACTCTCGTCCTCGGGCTCGGCGGGAGTGTCATCTTTGGTGTCGAGGTCGTCCTCAAACGGGTCCTCATCCCCATCCTTTGGCAGGGAGGTCGGCTCGGGCGTCGACACTCGACTCGTTTTCCTCTCTTTGATGTAAATCGGGAACGAGGTGGAGAATGCAGAATGCTTGTCGCTGCGAAGTTAGTGGATACCGATGCTGGAGGTTGATAGAGGGGTAACTGACATGAGCGACTTGAGGTTGCTAACGCTAAGGAACTCTTGGTTTTCTTGCTCGATCTCTAGGATGATCTCGGTTCCCCGGCCCAGGGTGTTGCCGCGGGGATCAGGGAAGATCTCAAACGAGTCACCGGAAGCGCTCGAGGTGAAGGTGTACTGGATTGGCTCCGGGTTGGCAGACGTCGCGGGGGGGAGGGACGACACTCGAACTGTAGGCGAGACGAGGAAGCTGGGGCTTAGGAGGGCGGCCTGTGCTGAATCGAAAGCTGCTCTTACCAAGAATAGAAACCCAGCCCTGCCTGTTAGTCGCAGATAATGAGAACAACACGTACCGAACTGTCCGATGAGGTTGCCGTCTGCTCCTCCTCCTTCTTCGGCCTTCTTCAGGAACTCGCTGGTGCCCGACCGAGCGATGGTTCCGAGGTTCTTTGCCAGCTCGTCTTTACTCATTCCAATACCAGTGTCTGCCCTTCAGTGGGGCCCTCGAGCTATTGTATGAGACAAAGACTCACCTCGGATAATCAGTCTGCCGGTGTCGCCTCCCTCGTTGATTACCACTTCAATCGTCACGTTGGCCTCACCGCTGCCCATCACGTTGCGATCAGTCAACGCGGTGAGTCGGAGCTTCTCGAGCGCATCGTTGGAGTTCGAAAGGAGTTCCCGTAAAAATACATCCTTGTGAGAGTAGAGCGAGTGGATGACCAGAGAGCGCAAACGAGTGATATCAGACTGACGGTCAGGCGAGGGACCACAGGAAGGAGCAGGGCTCGGACCCCGTAAACCAGGTACTGACCTCGTATTTGTAACTTTCCGTTCCCTCGGTGGCTGCGAACACGGATCCCAAGAGACCTATCGCTCCTATCACCCAGCTCGTGAGCTTCATGATGCGTCTACGATCTATGTATAGTGGTCAACACTCAAAGCGTAAGTACTCTCTCCTCTCCCCTAGATGGATGGCGGTTGAGACGCGTGGATGACGTGGAACATTTCCACGCGACCTTCAGTCCTACTCCGACGGAAACGAATCATGGAAAAATACCCCGCCCGTCGAGCAACTCGAGGATATCCACAGCCATCCCTTCCTGTGACGGGTCAATGCATCGCATGATTCTATCTCTTTGCCTATCCAGTGTGTGCGGATCTCTTCTGGACAGTGTTCCAGTTCAAAGCCTTGAACCAGTCCCGCGCGTACTCGCCCCTGCTCCAAACACCGTACTTTTCGCCAATGTAGGCGTGCTCGAACAAGTTCAACACAGCCAAGGGGATCGGTCGGTCTGTTGAGCTCCTCGCCATGGGTCGTTGGGTCGCTCGAAGTCGAGGCTGGACGTTGATCTCCTGGACCGGCTCGTCGGCGGGCTGACCATCGGCGTTAAGACCCTGGCCCGAGGTCTTGGGGGTGCCGAAGACGGGGAGATCTTCTCGGCCACGTTGAGCTCGGTTGGTGACGAGGAGGGTGCCGCCAGCGAACGAGGGGAAGACATCGACAGCCTTGTTGGAGTCGCCGTATCGAACGATCTGAAAATCAATATGGGTATATCGGGTGCAAGCGGGTCAATGAGACATACCCAGAGCCATCCGCCGCCAACCATGCCCTCGGCATACGCCTGGACTTTCTCCTCGAGCTCCTTGTAGTCCGCTGGGATTTCTTGCAACGTCGAGTCACCGTTCTACGCATGAGCATGACCGTCGAATCTACGGGCCAAGGAGATGGACACGCACGATACCCTCGAGGAAGTACGAGTTGTTCAGCAGTAAAGAGGCGTAGTTGAAGGCAATGGTCATTTGAGGGTCTTTGGCCGACTGGCTGAGCAGATAAGTCATGTCGAGGCCTGTTCGATCCCATTTTTGCTTGACTTCGAGCAAGGATGGGTTATCTGGGAGGTCAGCGGTCAAGCCCCCGATCGTCCGCCATAGTGCGGAATTTGTAGAGATCACTCTGACGAGATCCCTACGCACTTCTAATCTCGTCCTGCAGTCTGGTCCACAGGCCCGCTTGCCATTCGCACACTCGGTCAACGTTGGCTTTGGGCAAAAAAGACGGCAAGCCGTTGAGGACTCGGGGGTCGACCGAGGTGGTAGAGACATCTCCGCTGGTGGGTCGTCGATCGCCGATGAGCGTTCGTTTAGAGAGTTGCAAGGGAGAGAGAACGGTTCGAGAAGAAGATCCGAGGGCTCGGGCGAGGGAAGGTGTTCGTGACATGCTGGTGGGGGGGATTGACGAGGGCGATGTAGAGGTGTTGTTGAATAAGTGTCGAAAAGTTCGGTTTTGAGAGACGGGTCGAGTGGATGGAGATTGGCAGGGAAAGCCAAAGGTGGACCGTGGGAAAGTTGATATTTCACCGCATCATCGCGCTCCAGTGACGATCTTGCAGGTGGATTGAGCCTCGTGGGTACATTGACGATTGACGTTGGTCACTCATTGCACAGTCACATAGCCCGGCTTGGCAGGTACTGCTACCTTCTGAACATGTCCTTCTCAAGCCTGAAGAACGTCCTGCCCTCTGACACCAAGATCACGTCCGTCCCTTCTCCCTGGCCCCTCACTTCCCACTCGGCCTTCTTCTGCCAGCTGGCTGACGCGCAGCCTGACCTCGCCGGGAGCTTCTTCATCGAAGAAATCAATACTGAAACCTGACAATGAGACACCATGGACAGCGCAGACTTTGCCCTCGTCTATCCACTTGGTGTTCCCGACGCCCGTCGAGAACGCATCGCACATCGCCCTGACGTTCCAAGGCGGTTTTGTGGGTACCACGGCGGTTGTCTACGTCGCGACTCGCAGGGGCCACGAGTCGAGCGAGATAGACTTGGGACTGAGCATGGGGGGGAAAATATACCCGGAGGACAAGAATAAACGACAGGTGTTTGAGTGAGTTTAGACCCCACCCCCTGCTTACCACCGCTTGATCCACGCATGATTGTGGGGGCGTATCGACCAGCTGGCGACCTCTGGTCAGAGCTGAGCGTAGAATCCCCTTTCCCGCTCATACTGCCATCCCATCAGCCCAGACGCAAGCTGCCATAGACTCTCAACCCGTACACCCGGCATCTCCCGCCGACCCCTCCGGACTGGCCATCACGACCACAGTCCCTCCCAACCCTGACGGAGGTGGTGCGCCCGCCAAGCCGATAGTCCCAGAGGCAAACGACGTTCATGCCTCCGGAGAAGGCGCCTGGGGCAAGCCGAAGATCACGGAGCTGAAACTGGAGTTCGAGGCATCGAGCGATCAGTTTGGAAGGATCACTCTGTATCAAGTAGAGCTTCTTGGTTAGACTGCTTGCATGGCATATAATCTATAAGTCAGCAGGGGGGCACAATCAGAGGATTTCCAGGAGCTGGGTGAGCCAGGTGTGCGAGCGTGCCGATGAATTCGCCGTGAGGCTCGCGATATTGAAGGTCACCGGCCACAACCAAGTTGGCAGTTCGTTCCTGTAGTCATCCCATAGCGATACTGGCCCGGATATACCGTCAAGGGGAGTAAGCTTAGGTGTATAGCAGAAGTTCACGCTTTTCGCTGGAAGCTAGAAACTCCTAGCGACAAGGAGCGTGAACATCACTGGGGTTGCGGTTCAGCAACCATGCGTGGGAGACGGGGTTTGCGTCGACGGGAGCATGATGTTCTTTTCGGACTACCGTTTCTTACAGACACCCGGATGGCAAGTTGTGAGCTGAATATTGTCGAGACTGGGCGAATCGATGCTGGATGCACAGAGTGGCGACGGGAAGTCATGAAAAGGTGACACCCCTGTGGGTCGTGAGATGCAGGTCTGGCTTCTGATCATCCCGGTGCCGAGGCTGCGCGGCACACTTGGAAAGCATGTCCTCTAGATAGAGGAGCGTCCAGCCCATCCTGACATTCCAGCCTTTTCATACAAAAAGGTTGTCGCGGTTTATTGAGATAAACGATTTGCCAGAGCGGAGAGAAGAGCAGGACGAGTTCTGTCAATGGTCTATCAGCTTCAGCCTGATCACGGACTCGACTCTTCATCGCCTGCGAGCAAGCCCTAAGCATAGTAGGCAGAAGACCACGAGACGAGAGAGCACTGTTCGGTAAGGCGAGTGACCTATATGTAACAGCGTCAGAGCAGAGAAATGTCTGACTAAGACCTGTTATATCAGTTGGTTAGATAGTTTGATTCCAACGTTTACACGTGAACAATCAAAAAGTCATCCGTTCAAATCGGGTACGGGTCGAATATCTTTTTGCATTCAGCCGGTCCCCTGTCTGCCTCAATCTCCCATCCGCATAATGGGTCCACACGGCCCCGGCCACGGATGCAAGACCGCCCTCGACCCCTCTCGCTCTCAGTCCGCTCGCAAGCATATCGGGTGTATGATTGCTAACGGAACTCGGGCAAAGGGGGCTCGACACAGATTGTCTGACACGGATGGAGAGAGAGTCATATTGTACATTGGTTGGAAGATTTTCGTTGACCTGTTATATCAGTTGGTTAGATAGTTTGATTCCAACGTGTTAACGTGAACAATCAAAAAGTCATCCGTTCAAATCGGGTACGGGTCGAATATCTTTTTGCCTCTGCTAATGCCGTATGTAGGACGCCAGGGCTGCCAGGGTGCCCATATGCTGCGTCTGGTGATGGACAAAGTGGGATTTAGTCGCACCCTTGCTTATACCGCTCCACCAAACCTCCCTCCCACCATGCAAGTGAAGATTTGCAGTCTCGGGTTCGGACTGGAATGGGAAGGAGACTCCACATTCCCGGTTGAAACGTCTTAATCCAGCGCATTGGCTTTAACCGCACTGAATTTTTGTTTTCGTCATAACCCCACTTCCCTCTGCTTTCCTTGAACTCTTTCGATCCACAGATGGACTCGGACACAGAACTCGAACTTGCGCTGCCCGCCGTCGGACCCGACTCGCCATTCAGTGACGATGCGCGTCCGTTACCCACAGAGTCGGAGGGAAACACGGTCGCCTCGCAGGGGGGCACTGCTACAGTAGTCGACTCTCACCCGGTCGTCCACGCAGGTCCCTCTAATCCGAGGCCAGCGCAACCTACGTTCAAGCTCCCTCCCGACCCTTCGGTACCCCAAGACCTCTCGATCATCGCGGAAATGGTGGCCTCGCATCAAGTCGTCGGATCGCTGCCGAAGCTCGACATGACCGCGGCAGAGAAACGCAAGCTCGTCGAAGCGAGTATCCGCGCCAAAGCGCTGTCCAAGGGCAAGGAAAAGGAGAAAGGCGTGGAGCAAGGCGCGATTGCTAGTGCAGTCGCTGCTGCGGACGATTCGTCCAGCGAGGAAAGCTCGAGCGAAGAGGAATCGTCCAGCGAGGAAGAGAGTTCGAGCGAAGAGGAGGGGGAGGAGAGTGCGACAGCGACGGCGAAAGCGGCATCCGGTGCAGGTCCAACTGGCGGCCTGGCGGGCGTACCGCACTCGATGCTCAAGAAAGACCTCGATGCGCTGATCGGGCGCGCGGGTTTCGAGACCATCACAGATTCAGAAGAGGAAGACGACGACGACGACGATGATGGGATGTTTGATATGGGGTTGGGGATGGATATGATGGTGATGGACGAGGAAGGTGGATCGGGCGAGCCCATCACGTCTATCCACGAGGTGCCTCTCCCTCCGGTGCCCTTGCCGCCGATCGAGCGGGTGCCAGTGGCCGGGGGAAAAGGCTTGAGTTTGGCTGGAGAGGTCGTGAGTTGGATGAAAGAGCGCAAAGTCGAGGTCTGGCTAGACGCTCAGGCGAGCAAGGCGGAGGAGCGGCAGGAGGGGGAGGGACAGGATGCTGTTGCGGATGTCGACGTCTCAGCCACAAAAGGAAAAGAGGAGGCGAAGACGGATGGGAAGGACAGTGAGGCGTCGCAGGCGGACCCGTCGGTGTCCAGAGCGACGCCAACCAAGAAACCCAACTTCTTGTCCTCCGGCACGGTCGTCATCCGCGCGATGCAATCACGACCTGGCGCCGAAGACGAAGGATGGCTGGAAGAAGGCTCCGTGGTGTGCTGGGAAGACGGGAGGGTCGTTGGGACTGTACGTATCCGTGTGAACCATTCGTGGTCTGAGAAAATGAAATGCCAGCTGACGACTTCACACAGGTCAACGAGACGTTTGGACCGCTTGAATCGCCCTTTTACACACTCCGACTGCCCCCTCCGCCTTACCCTTACCCCACCCCCACCGCCCTCGCTCCTGGGACCCGACTGTTCTACCCGCTCGAAGCGGCTTACCGCTCGTTTGTCAACATGCGCGCGGTCCGCGATCCCCGGTTCAAGGGCTCCGACGCGAGTAACCTGTACGACGAGGAGATCAACGAGGACGAGCAAGAATGGTCCGATGACGAGATGGAGGCGGAAGCGAAGCGACGGAAGAAGAACCGTCGGGCCGGCTCGAAGACGCCCAGTCTAATGGGCGGTAATGGTGGTGGTGGTGGTGTAGGCAATACGCCCCGAAGCGGAGGTCATATGGTGCATGGTCTACCAGCTCGACCGCACTTTGATTACGTGGCCCCGGATACGGTGGACGAAGACCAAGGGAGCATGTATGGCGACGATTCCGACCTGGCGGGGGAGACAGGGTCAGTGTACTCTTACACCCCGTCAGAGGCTGGATCGACGACAGGTCGACCTCTCCCTGTGCGCTATGATGATTTGGCGCCTAGCGGAGATCAGGAGGATCTGGGCAGGTACGGGTCTGACGCGGCGCGAGGTGATCAAGAGCGAGGTCACAGGGGCGGAAGGGGACAAGGGGGTAGAGGTCGAGGGAGGGGTGCGGGGCGTGAAGCCCGTGGAGGGAGAGGCCAAGGGAGGGGTAGGGGACAAGGAAGACGAGACGGTCGACAGGGTCATTCAGAACCGCAACACTATCCTCAACAGCAGCAGCAGCAGCAACAACAACAACAACAACAACAACAACATCCCAACCAGATCCACTCGCAAGGCCCTCACATGCCGCATGTGCAACACTGGCAGCCGCCTGTTGCTCAACAGCAACACTTCAACCAGCCAGGAGTATATTACCCCCCCGCGCAGATGTACGGCCAACCTCAAGCGTACCCAGCCTTCCCGATGCCATCCCAACAACCCCCTTACCCGCCTCACGGACTCGTCCCACAGGACTCGTACCACCCTCCTCAGCCTTCTGCAGCACCCGGACAAGGCTCCGGACCGTTCGGCGGCGGAATGGCCATCAACCCGAATTTCAACCAGCATCAACAGCAACATCAAAATCAACAGATGTACCAGAACCAGCCCCATTTCTCTTACCCTTCCGGCAACCAGTTCAGTGGCTAGATAGACCAGGATGACCCGGCATGATGTGTATGACATGCATTTATGACTTGACCCATGCTATGAAACCAGAACCAGACCATGACCCCCCCCTAATCAAGCGTCTTGCGTGACAGCACCGAGCGAATCTCCCGGTGCTGCTGCAACCAAGACGCAAAGTCTGTTTCGTCGAGCGACAAACCTTGCTCTTTCGCTTCCAACAAAAAGTTGGCAAGGACAATCAGCGTACCGTCTGTACGATCAGCCTATGCCCCAAATCTCTCCCCGCTCCCGAGACAAGACGGAACGGTGGCTCACATCGGTACAGGTAATTGACGGCTTGATGGCTCAGCGTCGCATGCTTCGACGAGCCGGGCTCAGCAGCATCCACCTTGACTTTGAAGCTGACCGTCAATTGCTGAACAATCAAGATATGGGCACTGGGCACCCACTCATACACTGCCTTTCGCAGATTCTGCACGCCCTCCATCAAGTTCACCACCTTGTCCGTCACCCGCTTCGCCTCTGTCCATCAGCTCCAGTCAGGCAAGTCGGGAAGACAAATCGAGACGTACGTTTGCCATGACTGAGAACAGTGACTAGTTGCAGGATTGTCTTGTATTCACCTGACCGTTAGCAAGAGCTTAGACGCGACTGCCAACTCACCGTTGAGATACTGCTGCATCTCCGCCATCTCACCAGACTCCTGCTCCTCTTCATCGGCCTCATCCGCGCGTTCGAGCTCCATGTCCTCCGTGGCGATCGTAGCAATGAGTGAAGCGGCCACCATACCCGTCGTTGTCCTTCCCCTGCCCATTTGACAATTGAATCTGGCGTGAGCATAGTACTTTCACTTTCGAGAATGAGGCGCTGAGCTTACACAAAGTCGCTCGATTCTTTCAGCCCTTTGGCGACCCGTCCAACGATGACTTGCAGAGACGCCGGTAGAGGAGCTTGCTCATCGGTCTGATAGTCAGTTCAGGCTCCCCACTGCGTCTTACGATAGCAACTCGAGCGTAATCGACTCGATAATGCTCCTCAATGACCCCTTGGTACATCTCACGCGGGGTCATCACCTCGTGCTCTTGGACATTCTCCCAGATGGGTATGATCTCGTATGATCCAGGTTTGGTCTCGACCTCATCATGCAACAAAACGCGCCCCTCGCCTTTGCGAATTTCGTGCAGCACGTCTTCTTTGAGCTGGGTCTCCATGCGTTCGACAACGGCTGCGGTCACTCCGGTGGTTCTGAACGTCAGCCTTTCACCCAAGTGGAGAGGCCGCTCAAACTCACTCGACGTTAGTCAGAGGTTTGTCCAACAGTCGCAAGACATGTGGCCTGCTTTTGACGTACTGCGCGATGAGCCAAATACAACATCGACATCCCCCGCGGTCGCCTACGTACAAGGACAGGCTCTTCACGCAACGAGGTCCAGATGACCGAGCGCGGTCCCCCCGGTCCCGCACCCATCTTCTCAAGAGCATTGCGCAAGCTGTGATTGTCAGCTGAAGGATAGCGCAAGAGCCAGCAAAGCTCACCCAGTGGCGCTGGGCATTCTGGGAGTAGTCAGCACCGATTACTTCGTATATGTCCATTTGCTTACCCAGTACCATAGACGTATCTGTCAGGCTCAGTGTGATGACCATCGAGATCAGGCATGATGGGCAATTTCCGGTAGTTTGCCGCTCCTTCGACACGTCTGCAAGTCAGACCATTGCAAGCAAGGCGGGGTAGAACGTACTCTGGCAGACTCTGCTTCTGCAGACCCGAGAAGAAGTCCGATTTGAGAATCTATCATCAGGCCAAGGCCAATGGCCGCTGATGCAGACTCACAGTCTGCGCCGAAAGAATCGTGCCGCTACGACTGGCCACCGCTTGGGACACCTCGTCAGGAAGCTGGTTGTCAACTCAAAGACCGTGAGCGTAGAAGCACAACCCACAGCCATTCCCGCAGCAGG